CCCCTTTTTTTATATGTGACTTTTATTTTATTTTACTTTTTTATGTGTTATTTTTATTTATTTTTATTTATATTTATTTTTTTTGCACTTATTGTTATTGCTATCATATAGGGGGATAACAATCCCCCTATATAATAGCAAAGGCACACTGACGGGTCCTCTTTATGGAGACATTAGGGGTCTCTAGGACCGCTAATGTCACCTGTGGACCCCAAAAGAAGCTGATGAAGCAGAGACGCTAATCGCCTATATGTGAAACACCCGGTAACGGGTGTGTGCAATGGTCGGGTCTTTTCTGCCCGTGCGTGCCCGCTAGGGGGCGCGCACGAGCAGAAAAAAATTGCCGTCTGGAGACGGCAACCCGCCAATGCTGCAGTGCCGTCCGTCCTGTCTTATTTAAATGATTACATTTCACGGCATAGTCCAGCTTTTGCAAAAAATAAAAGCACACACATTATTAAAAGAAACAAATGTGCATGTATTTTTGGATTGCAGGTGCAATGATCTGGCCCCTGTGGGCTCTTCTTTCCAGCCCCTGTTTGTACTGAGGTATGAACTTTCAGCTAAGGGATGGAAGGAAGTATGAAAACCTACAAGTGTGATGACATCATTGCACTTGTACTCCATTGAAAACTTTAAAAAAAAAAGTCCTCCTGCCGCAGTGGTAGTCTCTCCATTCACAGATCCTGTCAAAGGATCTGTGAATGAAGGGTGTGGGCCAAGCCCAGCCCAGCAGCTTCATCTTATATCAGGGGCCTATAGGGGGCGGAACCCTGTGATTCCGGTAAGTGGAAGCGGGTGGTTGGGTATGTGACCATGTTTCATATTACACCCTGAATATGGGTGTAACCTGAAATCTGGTCCAAGAAGTAAACGTGGCCTTTAACCCCAGTTCGAATGGTGATCTAGTGATAATACGTTTGGTTAAACACTACATGAGGATTTTTATACGATTTGTAAATCTGGCAACAGAAAGCCTTACGTAGAGAGATTGTTAACGTTGCAGTTGGGTGTTTGTATCCAAATCAACTAAAATCTCATACGACTCAAATATGAAAGCAAAGCAGTTAGATCACCGTGGAGAAAAAAAATGAATGGTTTCTCATTGTCCATATACAATACCTTGACAGATACAGTCATTGTTCTACTGTCTTTTCTATACTAAGTATTTACTATCATATCAATGTTAAGGTGGCTATGAGCTTAGAAGATGGTCAGATGTGCCAACATGAAAAAGGTTTATTGGCACATTTATTACATTTTAGAAAAATCACTGGAAAATTAGCTTGCCGTTTGTGATACGCTGGTTGAAAGTTGAGCTTCACCCTCTTGATCTTATTTGTGTTTTATTTTATCAAATGCATTTATATCGGTCACATTTTGGCACATCTTTGACCATCATAATATCTCTCAATCGGGCTGTAGGTACCCCAATTATTCATGTTGGTTAATAAGTGGAAGGGGGGAAATCACTTGAGAATACCTTAGGCCACTGGCTATCTTTAGGAAAACACAATTCCCATGCTGGTGTTTGGTTGAATAACAGCTGTACCTCTTGACTAGTAATGACTCTGGGCTTGGGGTGAACCCGCGCAAAACTGTGACTACCATCCCCTCCTTTTGGCCCAATCATTTGCTGAAAGGCGTATTTCCCACCCCACATCTATGTCACAAAGGGGAGAGGAATGCCACTGATGCAAATGCCACCACTGATTGGGCCGGAGGGGGTGGCTTGGGCTATCACAGATGAACTGGGTTTGCACCAAGCCCAGGTTCATCTCTTCTCTTGACCATACCTGCAAGCTTTCTGTATTGAGCTATTTTGAGCATGGGGATAAAAAAAGGCCAGTGAGCGTCTTTTGGAAGTGTCTGTGTGTGAATTGTGTTCTGACTCATTGTCGATGGTGCTAGAGGGAGGTGAATGTGTCAGTATGCGTCAGTTTGGGTTTTTTCCTCCAGTTTCCAGAAAGATCTTGTTATATAACTTTTAACGCTACGACTTTTCAAACAAATATGATTCATCCTTTTGCCACATTAACACAAAGCCCGAGTTTCCATTCTAAGAGAAATTTACAGCTTTGGTGGGCAAGTTTGGGACCTGCAGTAATAGTGACTTAAATGACTGACATGTTCGAGAATCGTTTGGATGGAATCCTATGGCGTGGCCTTCAGCGGTACTGTACATGACTTCAGACATGACAGACCAGCTCAGGCTGCCACTGTGAAGATGCAAAGCTTGTTTTGTTGATTAACAGGGTTTTTTTTATTAAAGAGGATTACAGGAGGGAAATGAATTGTCATGGCCACATTGTGGCTTGAAAGGGTTTAGCTGGTGAAGCAGGATATTGGTTGAAGGGTCAGCTGGGGATAGTATTGGGTCAGGTTAGTTATATATAATGAGTTAAAGCTGACCTCCAGGCAAATATAAAATACATAATTTAATGCTGTTATGTTTTTAAAAAATTCTATGTATTTTTAAATACAGGTTGTATAAATGCCTGAATCTCTTTTGGTGGCAGCTTTTTATCCCTTGCACATCAGCACTCAGATGGGGAAGGGGGGGGGAGTAGTAGAAGCAATTCTGTGCTGCATGTACATGTGCTGAGGAACATGCCGACAGGAGTGGGCCAAGTGGATGACTTATCATTGTGTTGCTGCTCCTTCATTGTCTACCGATCTGCAGGTCTGACTCAGTAGGGAATGTGTCGGATCTTTGCAGAAAGACCACGGCTTCCCCACGGAGAGCAAGGCTCTCACTCTGCAGCTGACAGGATTTTCTACTAGGGCTGTGGCTGCTTTGGGACTGTAAGACACTAAACAACTTCTGTTTTTGTTGCACTTGGAGAAGCGGATTTAAACTTAAATTTGAGCGGTAGGTCTTAATAAGTAATGGAATTAATATAGGAGAGTTCATGTATATGTAGTTCAGATATATGACTGGAGTTTAGCTTTGATGATGTCAGCCTATATATACACTGTATTGCCAAAAGTATTGGGATGCCTGCCTTTACATGCACATGAACTTTAATGGCATCCCAGTCTTAGTCCGTAGGGTTCAATATTGAGTTGGCCCACCCTTTGCAGCTATAACAGCTTCATATCTACTGGGAAGGCGTCCACAAGGTTTAGGAGTGTGTCTATGGGAATGTTTGACCATTCTTCCAGAACTGCATTTGTGAGGTCAGGTACTGGTTGGACGAGACGGCCTGGCTCGCAGTCTCTGCTCTAATTCATCCCAAAGGTGTTCTATCAGGTTGAGTTCAGGACTCTGTGCAGGCCAGTCAAGTTCCTCCACCCCAAATTCGCTCATCCATGTCTTTATGGCCCTTGCTTTGTGCACTGGTGCGCAGTCATGTTGGAACAGGAAGGGGCCATCCCCAAACTGTTCCCACAAAGTTGGGAGTGTGAAATTGTCCAAAATGTCTTGGTATGCGGATGCCTTAAGAATTCCCTTCACTGGAACGAAGGGGCCAAGTACAACCACTGAAAAACATCCCCACACCATAATCCCCCCGCCACCAAACTTTACACTTGGCACAATGCAGTCAGGCAAGTACCGTTCTCCTGACAATCGCCAAACCCAGACACGTCCATCGGATTGCCAGACATAGAAGCGAGATTTGTCACTCCAGAGAAAATGTCTCCACTTCTCGAGTCCAGTGGTGGCGAGCTTTACACCACGGCATCCGACACTTTGCATTGCACTTTGTGATGTAAGGCTTGGATGCAGCTGCTTGGCCATGGAAACCCATTCCATGAAGCTCTCTACGGACTGTTGTTGTGCCAATCTGAGGCCCACATGAAGTTTGGAGGTCTGTAGCTATTGACTCTGCAGACAGTTGGCGACTTCTGTGCGCTGCAGCATGTGCTGACCTCTGCTGGCCACACCTGCAGTACAACACCGCAGACTTCTATAGGGCCATCTCACTGGGCCGGATACGGACACGGCCAGCAGAGCGAGACTTTTAGTGGTGGATGTCAACAAACACTGGAGCAGTGGCCCTCGGCTCTCCGCAAGTATAGACCTGTGAAGGGTGAGGGTGGGATCGTTTAAGTTTGGGGTGGGGGGCAAAAAGAATAAGTGCACTTTGTCGAAAAGTGCACTTATTTTTTAGACAAGGGTGCTAATATATGGGTTGCCACCAGAAGGAGACCCTGCGCCACATTGCAGCAATTGTGTTAAGATGTAATAGTCTCTATTTAATTACTTTCAGATAAATTTGACTAAAATAAAATGAGTAATAACTGAAAGTACAGCATTTTTTGTTAATCATTGATGCCTTATTGATACATTTTAAATAAAGAGTGTGTGTATAGCAGGAATTAATTGGCAAAACCATGTCAATTATAATCTGTGCTTTGTATTTCCAGAGTGGTACAGCAGGAGACTGCAAGGGCAACAAATCGAAAAAGTCCAGTTAATGGATGCAGATCCCAGCCCATAGATATCTTGGAGATGCTGAGCAAGGCTAAGAATGAGTACGAAAAGGTGGGTGTGCCTTCTGCTAACCTTTTAATCCTCTTTTGAAATATGCTCAAGTGTATTGGCCAGCGGTTTTATTAATGTACGCATAGGATCCTAGCACAAAATATGGCTCAATACATATTACAATATAATTGCACATTTTCCTTCAGGTTTACCAAAACTATGTAAAATAAAGGCTTTCCTAACTATAAATGCATTTAGATTGTATCCAATCAGACATGCTCCTATATAGTTGAACACGCTTATAACATCTCTTGCAGGCTTTTTGTTGAGCTACTTTTGTCACCAGTCTAAGTCAATTTTGCACGGTTTCTTTGCAAAAACCATTTTAGGAGCAATCGGTCATGCTGTTATTTGGAGGGTTCAATGTGACAATCTTGATGAGGTATATTATGCGGTAGGGAGGAGCTACATACGGTAGCTGTATTTTAGATCGTATTAAAGAACTGGCAGGAGATCCAAGTAAACTACACACACTGTACAAAAATAGAGATTTTCTGAGATGCTCTCTTTTAAAATGTAACTTTATTGTCACTACTTAAAATATAATTAGAATGCATCGTTGAGAGAGTGCATGTCTTTTCCATATTCATATGCATCTTCATCTTGCTTAATGTTACAGTTTAAGCCAAATAATTTTGCCTTTAAGCAGACTTCATGCATGTCCTAAATTCAGCCCTGGGCCTGCTCATACACTTCAATCTACTTGTAATAATTAAACCACAGGCCAGCAATGGGAACTGCTTATTTAGCTGCTGTGTTCCAGATGGATCATAAAATAATCCTGATGAGCCGCCCACGCAAGATTGGCCCCGGTGTCAGCCTGGCATGTCCACAAAGGCACCGAGAGATTTATTAAGGGCCCGATTGACTTCATCTAGACTTGTAAATACAGCTTAATCCTCCAAGTGCTTGCTGAGTGTTGTCTCTATGAGAGCAGGATATGATTTTGAGACCTGGATGAAAGTAGATGAAAGTATGTAGATGCGATAAGTGTCTTACTGCTCCCATCTTAAAGCTGGCTTTTCCATGGCCCTACAACATTTTGCAGCAGTCTCTACCCAATGGCATAGTTGGCAATATTTTAAAGGGCACCTGGCAGATCTTTATCTGGGCCCATGAAGGGTCCTTTCTGGTGTTGGAGATTGTCAACATCCAGTCCTAAGCAGCAGTCTTAAAGCTGGTTAGGTGGGCACTGCCCCCAAACTAACACCTTGCACACTTCTAGGTACTGGCCAGTAGCAAGCTTCACCACTGGATAGGATCTTTAGCTGAGCCAGATCCTTACTGGTATGTCTTTGAAGGTTCTCATTCATCCAGGTCATGGTATATCTGTAAAAAATAAGTCAAGGAAACTTGACTTTGTGTATTTTTCCTTGAAGCCGTTTCACTGGTCATCCAACCAGTTTTCTCAATGCAGAATGACTTGTACAAAAAAATTATCTGGGAATAAATATGGTGAATGTTGCTCCAATTTTCATCTGTTAGTCACAACCTGGTGTTGATTTCATTTGCATAATCGGAGTCTAGGAGGTGTTAGTCTGGGCAGGTTAATAACACATCCTAGGCTCCAATTATGCAAATGCAATCAACACCTGGTTGTGACTAACAGATTATGTGGATTGGAGTTCCCAGATACAAGTCATTCTGAATTGAGAAAGCTGGTTGGATGTCCAGTGAAACGTCTTCAAGGAAAAATACAGCAAATCCAGTTGCCTTGACCTTTCTTCTTTCTTTCTTCTTTCTTCTTTCTTTCTTCTTTCTTCTTCTTCTTTCTTCTTTCTTCTTCTTTCATCTTTCTTCTTCTTCTTTTTTTTTTTTTCTTTTTTTTATATTGTTTTTTTTTTTTTATTTTTTTTTGTTGTTCTTTTTTTTTTTAAGTAACTGTTTGTTCTCAGAACTGGAATTTTGGGCAACAAAGACAAGTGAAAATTAAGTTGTGTGCACATATGTCCCTGACCTCTAGCCTGTCCTTGAAACTTACTTGTGGCACTTTAACAGTTGATTCTATCACTGTGTGCAGTGAACGCCACTCAAAATGGAAAGTGATAACTCACCAGTTCCTATGACTCCAGTTGTGTAACAGGTGTGTTTGTTGGAAGAAAGTCTCCAATAACGTGGTGATCTGGTCAGACTTCTCTTCGTTCTTTCCTCCATGAACCCCAAAACCACCTAAGGGTTAACATTAAAATACTCCCTATAAAGCCCTAACCTAAAACCCCATTAACCCTGACTCTAACCCAACATTGATTTAACCCCTAAAAGTGCACTGTCGCCTAATCAGGCACAGGAACTGTTGGCTCTGAAAAGCTAATACTATTGTTCTAAGAGGTCTCAAAGTGCAGAAGTCTTGGTTGGTACCAAAATTCAGTGATTAGAGCCTCTTAAGTTGCCCCAAAAATATTGGCAGCTGTGCCTGCAGTTAGGGGGTAAATGTCATTTTCAAGGGGGGTGGGGGGGTGCATTTTAAAGTGGCTTTAAAAGAAAATTGTGACCAGGAATGACCATGTTCTGAAACAGGCAAATAATTCATGATCTTGGACTACCAGAGAATAGTGGTTGTTGTAAATCCTTAGCGGCTGCAGGGGATGTTTTATTTTTAAGCAGACAGGCCCTGTTTAATAGGCTTTCAGTAAGTTAAGGGGTTCAGCAAGTCACAGCCATTGTACCACGCTACTAAGAAGGAAACAGAACTTTGAATGAGCAAATGTAGCTAGCGCAATATACATATATGATTACAAACTAAGTCTAGAAATAATGTGGTTAGTTACATTAGGAGGGCTGCTTTCCTCTTTAAGCTCGTAGAGTCTTATTAGTATTATTTAGGGTGACGGTTGTGCATTTTCTGTAAGTGAACAACTTTTGAAAAGAGAATGGAATCCCAATGTAATCGTCCCAGAGCAAAATTAAAATGCGGACCTAAAGGGCTTGAATTTGCTGCTTTATATTCTCACAGAAGGCTTGTTTTCTTTTTGCTGTACATTTCAGTGAGCATCAAAGTTACATTTAACTAAATGTAACATATACATTGCTCTGTATTATTAGCATATGCAATGTTTACGGTCTAAAATCCCAACTGCAAACATGCGGTTTAGCACATTCACCAGCTTTCTGCGACCTACAGCACATACTAAATTCATTTTTTTTGATTGCTGATCATCAGAATTAATTAGGTTGGGGAAATGGATTTTGTTAGTCACACAGAATAATTTCTGTTGCAGAACCAAACAGCCTTGTGATCAGTTTCTGATGGCCAATCGCTGACTCACACAATCTTTTTATTTTATGTTTGGGTAGTCACGCTAAGGCCTCATTCACATGGATAGTATTATTATTATTATTATTATACAGGATTTATATAGTGCCAACAGTTTGCGTTGCGCTTTACAATATAAGGAAGACATTACAATAACAATACAATTCAAGAATTTTTTTTTTTTTTTTTTTTTTTACAGATCGTTACTGGTATGTAATTTTTTTAAGGTGGGAGTTATAGTAACTGTTTGTTCTCAGAACTGGAATTTTGGGCAACAAAGACAAGTGAAAATTAAGTTGTGTGCACATATGTCCCTGACCTCTAGCCTGTCCTTGAAACTTACTTGTGGCACTTTAACAGTTGATTCTATCACTGTGTGCAGTGAACGCCACTCAAAATGGAAAGTGATAACTCACCAGTTCCTATGACTCCAGTTGTGTAACAGGTGTGTTTGTTGGAAGAAAGTCTCCAATAACGTGGTGATCTGGTCAGACTTCTCTTCGTTCTTTCCTCCATGAACCCCAAAACCACCTAAGGGTTAACATTAAAATACTCCCTATAAAGCCCTAACCTAAAACCCCATTAACCCTGACTCTAACCCAACATTGATTTAACCCCTAAAAGTGCACTGTCGCCTAATCAGGCACAGGAACTGTTGGCTCTGAAAAGCTAATACTATTGTTCTAAGAGGTCTCAAAGTGCAGAAGTCTTGGTTGGTACCAAAATTCAGTGATTAGAGCCTCTTAAGTTGCCCCAAAAATATTGGCAGCTGTGCCTGCAGTTAGGGGGTAAATGTCATTTTCAAGGGGGGTGGGGGGGTGCATTTTAAAGTGGCTTTAAAAGAAAATTGTGACCAGGAATGACCATGTTCTGAAACAGGCAAATAATTCATGATCTTGGACTACCAGAGAATAGTGGTTGTTGTAAATCCTTAGCGGCTGCAGGGGATGTTTTATTTTTAAGCAGACAGGCCCTGTTTAATAGGCTTTCAGTAAGTTAAGGGGTTCAGCAAGTCACAGCCATTGTACCACGCTACTAAGAAGGAAACAGAACTTTGAATGAGCAAATGTAGCTAGCGCAATATACATATATGATTACAAACTAAGTCTAGAAATAATGTGGTTAGTTACATTAGGAGGGCTGCTTTCCTCTTTAAGCTCGTAGAGTCTTATTAGTATTATTTAGGGTGACGGTTGTGCATTTTCTGTAAGTGAACAACTTTTGAAAAGAGAATGGAATCCCAATGTAATCGTCCCAGAGCAAAATTAAAATGCGGACCTAAAGGGCTTGAATTTGCTGCTTTATATTCTCACAGAAGGCTTGTTTTCTTTTTGCTGTACATTTCAGTGAGCATCAAAGTTACATTTAACTAAATGTAACATATACATTGCTCTGTATTATTAGCATATGCAATGTTTACGGTCTAAAATCCCAACTGCAAACATGCGGTTTAGCACATTCACCAGCTTTCTGCGACCTACAGCACATACTAAATTCATTTTTTTTGATTGCTGATCATCAGAATTAATTAGGTTGGGGAAATGGATTTTGTTAGTCACACAGAATAATTTCTGTTGCAGAACCAAACAGCCTTGTGATCAGTTTCTGATGGCCAATCGCTGACTCACACAATCTTTTTATTTTATGTTTGGGTAGTCACGCTAAGGCCTCATTCACATGGATAGTATTATTATTATTATTATTATACAGGATTTATATAGTGCCAACAGTTTGCGTTGCGCTTTACAATATAAGGAAGACATTACAATAACAATACAATTCAAGACAGTGGCGTAGTGGTTGGTCCTTCTGCCTTGCAGCACTGGGGGTCCCTAGTTTGAATCCCGGCCAGGTCACTATCTGCAAGGAGTTTGCATGTTCTCCCTGTGCTTGCGTGGGTTTCCTCCGGGTACTCCGGTTTCCTCCCACACTCCAAAGACATGCTGGAAGGTCAATTGGCTCCTGTCTAAATTGGCCCTCTATGTTTGCATGTTTTGCTTAGATTGTAAGCTCCTTCAGGTCAGTGACTGATGTGAATGTACGATATGTAAAGTGCGTAAATTGTCGGCACTATATAAATACCTGTAATAATAATAATAAGACAAGATGGTAAGGAAGAGCTGAATGTAAAAGCTGTAGGTACCAATAAGTAGTGGCTGTCTGAACACAGAGTACAGCTGTGCAGTAGTGTCATACCTCCTGCAGTAAAGAGTGAACTACCTACCGGTAGTAGTGGTTACTCATATTCAACTGGACATGTTCTGGGATGTTGAAGATGTCCCTCTGCTTATCCAGGCAGCTTTCATTTTAATGAGTCTAGGAACATATCGCAGCTTTTATAGCCTGACGGGTTACTCAATCACCGTAATTCAGTCACCATGGATTGTGTCAAGGCAGATGTTGGTTGTTGAAGAACATAATGGTATGTGGGAATGTTTGTTTGTAAAACCAACCTTGTTCTAATTACATAATCCAATACCATGGCGCCATGAAGTTGGGGACAGGTAGATGTTACTTATTCAACTTCTATTTCTAAAGGGTAATTTGTCAGATTGGCAGGGTAGAAGTGTGAAGACTGAAAATGTGAAAGATGTTGTCGAATGCCCCTACCTCTGCTTAGGGATGGCTGTTCCAGTTTGATGTAGATGGCATCTTATAAAGCAGTTGTCCTCTTTGTTCAAAATGTGTAACCTCACTGTCCTAGAAACAAATTCTGCTCAAGTTTTAGGGTGTTGTTGTGTCTTGTGTATCTTGTGTTTTTAAACCCCAGCAATACAGTGAGACAAAAACCTGTACTGCCAAAAGACCCAGCACCCACATACTAGGGAAGCATATTGGTATAAGGTCCAGTGTAGTGAGGAATGCCACGACCTTTTAATAAATAGCCCAAAACAAGAAGGCGAACTCTGCAGGGTGTCCCCAACAGTCCAGCTAAGGAAAGAGGCTGAATGAATGAGGCTGGCCATCATCGAGACTGCAAGGGCAGCTCTAGGTATAGTATTTAGCAGAGCATGGGGCACAGAAAAGGATGGGACCAGAGAAACTGAAGAGAAGCAGATTTAAGAATGAAGTTCCTGACTCCCGGGTAACACTGTCTGAGGGCTCTGGATGTATTGGCAGCAGAAAGAGTGGGTAAGAGAAAATCATTGCAGCTTGTATCCTGCTGCCGTTTTCACTTGTACCTTGGCCTGGTCCTTCCTATTTGCCTAAGTTTATTTGCCAGTTAGGTTACCTACTGCTACCCTTTATACATCTACTGACTGGTTGTACAGAAGCCACTAGCATTCTTTGTGCCATTAGAAAATGCAGCCTTGTAGCTGCAGTTGATGATATATATGTTCTTGCTTTCTTTAGGGTCAAGGGAATGATCAAAGTTCTGACTTCAGCGCAGTGAAGAACTCTCCTCTAGTGAAGGCAGACAGTTTGGAAATAACAGAACATGGATCCTCTGGTCCTCAGGAGAAAGTATGTGCTTGTCTGGTGTTCTTTCCTTATTGTGTTATGTCATATTGATTATCTATGTCAGCTGCTCACATTTCCAATGAAGAATTGCAATTATGTGACCAGAGCTGATACCACACATCTGTCTTTAAAGTATTATTAAGGTCTGGGCGTTTTTTACCTTAATGCATTTTCTGCATTAGGGTAAAAACAGCCCAGTACCTTTTTTTTACCCCAGTCTCCCCCACACTTACCTCTCAGCTGCCCTCTTCCCCGCCGCTGGTCCCGAATAGATCCTCCGTACCCCGAACTTCTGGGTTACAGGGAGGATACCGATGGCATAGGCTCCTTCTGCCAGCAATCAAAGAAGGAAGGGGCGTGGCCTTCCACAAGGCTGTGTGTGTTTATGGACGCACACAGCCGCTTCGGGGACAAGTGCGCACGGGTGCCTCCATTAGAGCGAAGGTGGCACCCGTGCAAGGGGCGGGGGGAAGAGCATGGCGGGGACCCACTAGAAAACGAGGAATGAAGAACTTTTTTTTTTGTTAAACAGCCTCCAGCAAAGGAGGGTCTCCTTAAAGGAGAACTATGAGGTGAGTGCTTTTCACTCACCTCATAGTTCTAGCCGACCTGTGACAATGAGACTGTCACAGGTCGGCTCAGTAGATCGGGAGGTGAGCGAACACATACCGGCGTTCGCTCACCTCTCGATCATGTCACAGCTCTCTGCCGTGACAGGGGAGGGGCTGGATTCCCCCCTCCCCGCTCCGATCCGCCAGCGCTGACTGGCGGAACGGACGGGGGAGGGGGCGGGTACAGCTGGCTCTGCCTCTAGATAGGCAGAGCCAGCTATCAGTCACGCAGCTGGGCGGATCCCGACATAATTGTCGGGATCCGCTTCAGCTGCGGCGTCTCAGTATACTGAGCCTAGGGTGACAGGAGGACGCTAGTTTGTGTCCTCCCGTTACCCTAAGGAGAACTATGGGGAAAAGCCCTAACCCCATAGTTCTCCTTTAAAGGGGAAATTAAAAAACAAATGGCTTTAATATCACTTTAGGTATCATTTGAGATGCATTCGACACGCACAAAACTTTTTGCTGAGCAGCCTGTCACTTTTTCTGTTACTACTGTGTAAGCTGCCATTGGGTGCAAATTAATGGCAAGCAGGAAGGTCACCCATGGTTTGCAGAATATCACTCCTCCCACACCTTGATTTTTTTTAAATAGTTTTTAATAATGTAATGAAATATTTACATATTTTATCTATAAATGATAGTACAGCTTTATTTACAAACTCCAGTAAAAATCTAAGGCATTCACTTTTTTTAATCTGTCGCAATTCTTACTGGACTTCAGCTAGCATTCTGAGCCTCTCCAAAAGTCTCTGCCCTTAAAATAGGATGCCGTACAGCAGGGTCATGTGGCCTGATATAACAAGTCCGTTTTATCCGAAAAAACCTCCTAGAGGGAATAAAACAAATTAACTATATATCTCTCTTCTATGTGATGAAACTGGATCTCTTAGGCAAAACCTCAGAGTATTTTTAATACTCTGATACTGCTTCCAGTTTAGATATGATCTCAAAGCCCCATAGTGGTTAATTAGCACTACTGATCACTGCCCCAGATGTTTACATTTGATGGTCATAGGTTGATGGACACAAGCCTTCTTAAAACTCAACAGAAGCCACAGTTCCCGTACACTGCCCAAAACAGCTTTATGCAGTTTGAAATAAATGGCCCTATAATATTAGGCTATATTTGCGCAATGCACCAACGGTTCTGGATGTGTATTTCGCTGTTTGGGGCGTAAAAGATTAATTTTCATGGTTCACCCAGTGTCCCCAATCGGGGAATAAATCCTCCTATTTTTGGAATATGTAAGGGAATGAGACATGTGAATACCTTCGGTTTTAAGGAGGCTTTACTGTGCTACTCAACCTAAGCCTATAACTAATACTGCTTGAGTCAAAGGAAGAGGTTTAACTGTGTGATCAATCTATTTGAAAGCACTGAGGGCCGCATGAGAACCCCCCCTACCTCTGTCACGTGAAGACCTTTACAAGCCGTTTCATCTCCAAATGCTGTAGCTTCTGCATACAGATTAAAGCATGCTCTGCTATTCCGTTCACCTTTAACAGAAGATGAACTACTCTGATAGGTCAAAGCAAAACTTCAATCGACATATACACGTGGATAGGAAGAGAGAACTCTAGAAAAGGTAAAGTGCTAGAAATGTCTTCTCCTTCAGTGACTTAAGCTTTTCTTTATACAGGCAGGTCTTTTATTTAACCAAGTATCTGAAATCAGTTTGAGTTGCCACAAAGCAGCTGAGGGCTTGTTCACACCACTTCCAGTGTGTTCCAGCACGATTAGCTGCTGGAACACACTGGTTGGCATTCTAGCCAGCTCCCTGTGTTCTGGAGCAGGAGGGGGTGTGGCGGTGCATTCAAGTCAATGGCACCACAGCCATGCCCCCTCCCCCCGCTCGCAGCAAAACACTTGGCACATCAATGCCTGCGTTTCGGTCCAGTGTGATCGCAAAAAATAATGCATGCAGCTTATTTTATCGCATTTGACCGGTACGCAGGCATTGATGTGCCACGCATTCTGGTGTGCTGAAAAGCACTGGAAGTGGTGTGAACAAGCCCTGAAAGTTTAAAGAAACCTTGAGGCCTATTCTGTGTATTTTCTATTATTTAGGTATGTTATTTACCTAGAAAAGTTTACTTTATGTAGACATTCAAAAGCATCAAGACTGCTGATGGGCAATGACTTGCTGCCCGGCTTCCTGATAATGAAAGCTCCGATATCGGGCTAGGCATCAGAGCGTTTGGGCGAGTACAAGTACTCGCCCAAATACTCAGCACCGGTACGGATCCTACTATCTATATCGGTGCATCCCTAAAAACTCCAATTAATAATTTTTTCAATTAAACATACCTGAGTAAATTGACGATTTTGTATCTGTCTGGCATTCAGCTTTAAACACTTGAAGACCGGGGTAAAAAATGTCCAGGCCATTTTTCAGTATTAATCGCTGAGGTATTTGACTGACATTTATTCAGTCATGCAGTGCCGTACCAAAATAAATTTTATATTTTTTGGAACAGATGTAGCTTTCTTTTGGTGCTATTTAATCACCTCTGGGTTTTTGTATTTTGTATTAATGAAAGAAAGAAGTACCAACAATTTTGAAAGAAAAAAAATGTTGCAAATAATCTTTCTTCATACATTTAGGCCAAAATGTATTCTGCGACATTTCTTTGGTCACATCGGTTAACTAGGTACCAAACATGTCAAGCTTTAAAATTGCATCTACCTGCAAGATTGAACAAAATTACCATACCCAAAATTTCCCTTCGGTGACACTTTAAAAGCGTTTACTACTCATCAATTTAGTGTTCATTTAGTGTTTCCATAACCCAGGTTAGGGAATGTGACCATGTTGCATGTTACCCCCTAAAAATAGGGGTAATATGAAAAATAGCCAGAAAGAGAGAGTTCCATTTGAACCAGTTGACATCCGCGGTGTTAAACCCCTTTCCCATCCAGGCCATTTTTCAGTATTCAGCGCTGCGGTACTTTGACATTTATTCCGTCATGCAGCGCTGTACTGAAATGAATTGTATACCCTTTTTCAGGGACAGATAGAGCTTTCTTTTGGTGGTATTTATTCACCACTGGGGTTTTTATTTTTTTACTAATATTAAGGAAAAATTACCGAAATTAAAAAAAAAACAGTGTCCCCTATATTAAATGATAAAACATTTATTATTACCCAATTTTTTGGTAAAATCAAGTGGTTAAGGCTGTATTTTTAAAAAAAAGTACAGTTGAAGACGTGAATAATAACTCAATGTGTTTTCTCGCATAACAATCTAATTTGCCTTTGTTTTATTGTGTTCTATGATGAGCTGCAGCTTCTACAGTATTCAGCATGATTTATGTAGTCCACGGTGACAACTTAATAGAGCAGCATGATAAAAAAAAGAGCAGGCCCCTGTCACATGCTGGAGCCAGAGGGGACTCATCTGACATAGAACATCACATATGTGACAAACCTGAATCTGGCCATTGAATGCATGCGTGTTTTTTCTTGTGCCTGCTATTTTTGCTTTAGAGGAACAGATTTGCTTAATTGGACAGCTGCAAATATAGCAGTCAGTGGTCAGCACTTCATGTCGTGTAGCTGTACTTGTTATCTAATTGTGTGTGGTCTTACCATATGCCCGCCACAGTTTGATTACTGTGCTTTTGTACAGATCATTGAGAATCGGAGCAGGGGCCATCTGTATGGAGAAGCCTAAAGAATGTGCTTGTTTTTTCCCTTTGCTTCTCTCATTTTGAAAACAATAACAGGTTTATCAAGATCAACAATTAATATTTAATGGGATATGATTCTCATCCATCACAGAATTTGCAGGCAGTGGGGCATTTTGGAAAAATACACCATTGCGCAGTTCTAAATTCCTTGTGTGATAGTGCCATCTACTGGATGAGAAGAGTGTGACATAAAAACAGAAGTGCGTAATTGTCGCTGTCAGTGACAGAATTTATTAATATGTTTATGCTGGTAGAGGTGACATCAATGCTTGCTGCTATGACTGCCAGATCCTAGTGTCTCGTGAAATGCAATTAGGAACTAGGCAGTATGTGTATATAAAATTTAACGCATCCGCAATGTCATTTTAATAAAACAGCACCTTCTGTGAAGAGAACTGCTTTGTAGGTTCCTATGGTGATGTACAAGCAAAACCTATATAAAGTTTTGTATGCAGTCTTGTGAAAAAGAAAGTACACCCTCATTGAATTCTATTGTTTCCAGTATCAGGACATACAAATGATCTGGTCCTTAGCAGGCCTTAACAATTGGTAAATACAACCTCAGATGAACAACAACACATAACATATTATACCGTGACATTATTTATTTAGATTTAGAAATTATTATTAGAAAGCCAAAATGGAGACGTTATGTGTGAAAAACTAAGTACACCCATACTGTTTCCATAGGAAATGAGGCTAAAGGTGGCCATACACTCTACAACCATCGCAAGACCTTAGTCTTGCGATGGTTGTACAGGGATTAAAAAAACGTACGATCTTCCCATCTTGGACAGGCAGATCGCACTCTCGATCATCGCAAGCCCGCCCCCCTGAGGGGCGGGCTTCCGATGACCGCAATGCTGAACGGGCGTGCGCACACCGGCCCGTTCGGCATTTGTCTTCCGAGCACCGTTCTAACCAGCCGAGAATCGTACGATTCCCGGCTGGTTTTCGAACATGCTGGTTCGACGGAAGACGTGCGACCGTACAGTAGAAACGGTCACACGTCTCCGTTCACACTGCTCGATTCTCGTACGATCGCGGGATTTCCCGCGATTTTCGTACGAGAATCGAGCAGTGTATGCGCACCTTAAGTAGCAGTCGGTTGCTGCTAATCAAATGTTCTTATTGATCATCAGCAGGTGTGGTGGTCTGGAGCATTCAGGTTTGTGTTAACACAATGCCAAGCCAAGGAGGCAAGACATCAGCAAAGTTCTTAGACCCAGTTCATACCACAAAGTGTGTGTTCCAGAGCGTTCGGCCTCTGGAATGCAACTTGGTTGGGTCCAGTGCACTATTATTGCAGCTCACACCGGACTAATGTGCCACGCCAGTGGCGTAACAATCACCATAGCGACCCAGGCGGCCGCTAGGGGGCACAGTGGGGCCTGGCTAGATGCTGTGCGGTCTGCCTGGGTCGCTATGGGATCCCCTGCTGGTGGCTTTCACTGGCGGCTGAAGACAAACACGCCACTGTTGAGATCCCTGACAGTAATCTGTGCAGCAGCGCGTTCCTCTCCACAGAGTCAATGAGAGCCAGCGGCAGTGGAGCAGGCTGGACCCGGCAGTGGAGGAGGAGGCGGGGCCCGTGGTCGGCAGTAGGGGAGGAGGTGGGCCCGGCGACGGAGGAGGAGGTGGAGCCCATCAGCGACCGTGGACGAAGAGGAGGCAGACAGGTAAGGAGCTTGACCAGCCAACCGGAGGGTGACCCTGCAGAGCCCACCATACAAAATTTTGCTATGGGGCCCTGTGATTTCTAGTTACGCCCCTGTGCCACGCGTTGGGAGGTGGGGGGGGTGTGTGTTGAGCATGCTCTGGAACGCACTCTGCGGTGTGAACCGGCCCTAAGAAGCAGTTGTTGCTGCCCATCAATCTAAGAAGGGTTATAAAGCTATTTCTAAACAATTTAAAGTCCATCATTCTACAGTGAGGAAGATTATTCACAAGTCTTCCAAGGAGTGGACGTCTCAAATTTATTTAAGGTCAGACCGTCTAATGCTCAGAGAAATTGCAAAAAACCCCAACAGTTACATCTCAGATTCGACGGACCTCAGCATGTTAAATGTTAACATTCATGAGAGTACTTCTAGAAAAAGACTGAACAAGTATACTTTGTTCTGAAGGGTTGCCATGAGAAAGCTGCTTCTCTCTAAAAAGAACATGGCAGCACAATTTAGGTTTGGCAAGTTGTAACTGAACAAACCACAAGACTTCTGGAGCAATGTCCTTTTGGACAGTCAAGACCAAAGTGGAGATGTTTGGTCATAATACAGATCCCCACGTTTGGCAAAAACAGCATATCGGCACAAACACCTCATACCAGCAATCAAGCACAATGGTGGTGGGGGATGATGATTTGGTCTGGTTTTGACAGCCACAGGACCTGGGCACTTTGCAGTCATTGGGTGGATCATGAACTCCTCTGTATACCAAAGTATTGTAGAGTCAAATGTGAGGTCATCTGTCTGACATCTAAAGTTTGGCCGAAATTGGGTCATGCATCAGGACAATGATCCCAAGCACACCAGCAAATCTACAACAGATTGTCTGAAAAAAGAAAAGAATCAAGGTGTTGCAATGGCCCAGTCAAAGTCCAGACCTCAACTTGTTTAACCTTAAGAGAGCTGTGCCTAAACAAATGCCCACAAACATTAATGAACTGAAGCAGGTTTTAAAGAAGGGTGGGCCAAAATTCTTTCACTATGATGTGAAAGACTGATGAAGTCATACAGAAAATGATTATCAAGTTATTGCTGCTAAAGGTAGTGCTACAAGCTTTTGAATCATGAGATGCACTTAGTTTTTCACACATAACTTCTCTATTATGGCTTTGTAAAGTAAATAATGACACAGTGTAATATGTCGCAGGTTGTATTTACCTAATTGTATGGCCTGGTAAGGACCGAGAGAGAGAGAAAGAGGGTGATTTACTGTGTACGTTTATTACTGATTATCCCATCACTATTAAACAATTTGTACAATAATATCATGTCCCCTCTGTCTCCTTTTTTCGAGAGTGAACTTGTTTAATGCATGCAGTCTTTCCTCGTACAGTAGTTCTGGTCCTCTAATGATATCATGCCCTTATGCAAATTCTTGCATTTGGTCAAATATCATACCCTCAAATAACTTGCATACTCGAGCCTAGTATGCAAGTTATTTGAGGGTATGATAATCTCTCACAGATTGAATTGGGCGGGAAAAATGTTGCGTTTATTATAATGGGGGAAGTCCCCTATTATAATAACGTAACCTTTTCCCCGGCCAATTCATTCTGTGAGAGGAGCTGAGTCCCTTTATCCTCTTATGTTCCGAGGTCTTATAGCATACCCCCACAATGAGATTACAATTTTCCTGTCTTTTTTATTTCTAGCCACAAGGGCTCAGCACAGTCACCATTTCCATCGATGTCTTCATGCATGTGATCTTGCAGATTGCGCTTCACATGCAATTTGTAAATTGGCAACCATTCTAGAAACTGGAATTCAAATAATAGGCAGTAGGTTGTAAGTACAGATCTAAAAACAACTCCACTCCTACAACAGCTACTTCCAGTGTGGTACCACCGCCAGGGTGTTCTGGCCTTTATCAGACTCAGTCCTTTTGGAAGAGCATACAGTAAAACCCTTCTTTTGTCTGGTTCATACTTTGTGTTTAGAGGAGCATCACCAGCCTCCCCTTTTTAACAGGCTATCGACAGAGCCGCTGTAAAACATTGAGGTCAATTTTAATATAATTTAAGAGAAAATATGCTGTAGAAGGCCGTATAACATACAGGATTTCCTTTTATTTTCTTTTTCAGGCCTTCCAAACTGTGCAAAAACACTTGACAGTTGAAGAACTGTTTGGAACTTCATTGACAAAAGATCCACCAGTGATTGCCTACACTAACTTTGAAGTTTGTGATCCCTTCCTACCAGACTTAGGTGAGCACAACACTATCCTGCAGCCAAAGACCATCCAGCCGGTGGTAGTGAAAGCAGAGTCGAGAAGTTTTAATTGTAGTGCCAGCGATTTTAGTCACCCAAATTGCCTTCCTCCATCATTAATTTCTCAAGGTCCAGTGGACTCTCAGAACGTTGGTACATTTCCTGCAAGTATTAGTCCCAGTCTTGGATCATCATCTGAAGTTCTAGGCACGTCCGTTTCACATGGACCCAGTATTGCACACCTTAGCCGAATGTCCCCTCTTATGAGCCAATCGGTATCGGATGTTGTCAGCGCTCCCCATGGTCAGCCGCTCATTCCGCCTTTAGTCCCGATCCGCAGTAGCAGCTTTTCCAGTTCAACTCATCCAAGCATGGATCTTCTACAAAAGTTAAAACTAACTCCTCAGACTGACTCATTGCAGTCTCAGCCCATCAGCAAGGCCACCATAGCTCCCAAGTTCTCCAGTACTGGCAGTCAGCTGGCAACACCTGAGAGTTTCAAAGAAAGCTCCCTGAAATCAGTGTCATCTGGACCTCTATTAACATCTCTTCAGGTACTTTTTTATTATTTTTTTCCATAGCTAATGAAAATGATACAAATGGTATGTATAGAAAATGTAACTCATAGCAGTCATCTAGATTACAATAATGATATTGTCTGCACATAAGTTGAGGCCGCTAACATCGGGTTGCCGTGGTGCTGCCTATGGCATTCTTGTAGGATTTTTGCCAAACATTTTGAAGAACTGGACCATCAAGATGGTTCTTAAGCAGGTGCATTTGTGAGGGCCAAGAAGGGATCCCAGCAATGGTAAACCTTTTGTTCAGGATGGAAGTTACTGAGGGCACCAACATGTAAAAATTCCTGCTGGAGGGAATGAGCACTTAAATGTAACCATTGCTATCCCCATAGTAGCAATGGTTACATACACTATATTGTCAAAAGTATTGAGACCCCTGCCTTTACATGCACAAGAATTGTAATGGCATCCCAGTCTTAGTCCGTAGGGTTCAATATTGAATTGGCCCACCCTTTGCCGCTAAGAGCTTCAACTCTTCTGCGAAGGCTGTGCACAAGGTTTAGGAGTGTGTTTATGGGAATGTTTGACATTCTTCCAGAAGCGCATTTGTGAGGTCAGGTACTGATGTTGGACGTGAAGGCCTGGCTCGGCAGTCTCCACTATAATTCATCCCAAAGGTGTTGTATTGGGTTGTGGTCAGGACTCTCTAGTTCCTCCACCCCAAACTCGCTCATCCATGTCTTTATGGAGCTTGCTTTGTGCATTGGTGCGCAGTCATGTTGGAACAGGATGGCCATCCCCAAACTGTTCCCACAAAGTTGTGAGCTTGAAATTGTCCAAAATGTCTTGGTATGCTGATGCCTTAAGATTTCCCTTCACTGGAACAAAGGGGCCAAACCCAACCCCTGAAAAACAACCCCACACCATAATCCCCCCGCCACCAAACTTTACACTTGGCACAATGCTTTCAGGCAAGTACTGTTCTCCTGGCAACCGCCAAACCCAGACTCGTCCCATCGGATTGCCAGACAGAGAAGCGTGATTCGTCACTCCAGAGAACACGTCTCCACTTCTCTAGAGTCCAGTGGCTGCGTGCTTTACACCACTGCATCCGACGCTTTGCATTGCACTTGGTGATGTAAGGCTTGGATGCAGCTGCTCGGCCATGGTGTGAATGGGGCCTAAATCCCATTCCCATTCTAATTCCATGAAGCTCTCTGTGCACTGTTGTTGTGCCAATCTGAAGGTCACATGAAGTTTGGAGGTCTGTGGCTATTGACTCTGCAGACAGTTGGCGACTTCTGTGCGCTTCAGCATACGCTGACCCCGCTCTGTCATTTTAAGTGGCCTACCACTTTGTGGCGGAGTTGCTGTTGTTCCCAGTTGCTTCCACTTTGTTATAATGCCACTAACAGTTGACCGTGGAATATTTAGTAGCAAGGAAATTTCACGAAACACCTGAATCCAATGGTTTGGAGGGGTGTCCCAAGACTTTTGGCAATATGGTGTATATTGTAATGTGTATTGAGCCGTATTTGGTGCTAGGATCCCATGCGTACATTTAAATATTAAAAGCTCTGGCCAATACACTTGAGCATGTTTGCAAAGAGGATTAAAAGGTTAGCGGAAGGCACACCCACCTTTTCGTACTCATTCTTAGCCTTGCTCAGCATCTCCTGAATCCAATGATTTGGAGGGGTGTCCCAATACTTTTGGTAATATAGTGTATATTTGCTCATTCCCTTCAGCTTTCTCTTAAATTATAATATTGTAGCTCCTTACCTATATTTATTTCCTCTGATCCTGAGCACCATCTGTGCAGTATTTTCCCCATTAACTCTATTGTTTATGAATATACCGATGAAGAACTTTTGAACTATGAAGAAGAGAAATGACACCAAGAACATCTGTTTTTGGCCCATTGTCACAATAGATGGTTTACTCACACAGAATAAACGTACAGGCAGTTTCGCTGACCTATGAAAGTCTTTTTTATAAATGGACCACTGACTGTAAAATAGTGCTTGTTGCATGCCCGTGTTTTCTTTAAAAATTTTCTATATGAAAGCGTCTAAATTGAATTTAGCTAGACCTGTTTGTTTCACTAAACCCTAAGAAGAGAAAAATGATTACCGGTAGGTGTTTGGATTCTGCCCACAGGCAGAAAACACATGTCCACTATTTGGCATTCAACTCAAACTCTAAGGCTGCGTTCACACCTGAACGTTTTGTAGGGCGTTCTACGCTCGACGAACGCTCTACAAAACGGTCAAAAATATAAATTGCATTGTAGTCAATGCCCTCGTTCCCACCTCGCCGTATTTCCGCCCGTCCCTAACGCCCTACAAAACGGCCCACGCCTGAAAAGGTCCCGGGACTACTTTGGGCCGTTTTGTAGGGCGTTTTCCATTTGGATACTGCCAAGTAGCCTTTGGAATCGCGCGACGGTCGCGCGACTTTTTTACCGCGAATCGCGGTAAAAAAAACGTGTGACGGTCGCGCGACAGACGCGCATATTACAATACGCCTAGGTGTGAATGGGGCCTAAATCCCATATACAAAGACTTATTTTTTGTTAGTGATCAATAAATCCTACAAGGATTGATCTGTTTTGTTGACCCCTTAAAAAAACAAAACAAGATTATGGCACGTGAAAATTGTTTGTGTAAATATGTATTTAAAGAATAATTGCAGATTTTGTTCTAAACTTTAACCTTGAAGTCCTAAAATATTGATAGCATTTTATTAATTCATTAGAACCAGCAATGGCCAGATAATGTACATTTAAACAGAACTCCTGAGAGCAAATGGAAGAGAGACAGGGGAAGTCAAGGAGCGCATCCATGGCATCAATTCTGAATGTGATTGATCTTTGCTAATCCATGCAGGAGATTGATGATATGTGATGAATATTTAGATGGATAGCGGGATTTTAACTGGAAGTAAATAAAATGCTCCATTTCAGGTGTCTGCGGATAGTTTTATCAGGCTAAGGAATATTTCCTGTGGCGCACCTAAGCAAAAAGAAAGTAGAGAGGAGAGGCAATGACTGCAAACTTGCTTGATTTGGTGTAATATATGAAAGTTTTTAAGGTTTATTGTTTACTGGTCCCCTGTTCTCTGCCAATGCCAGAACCATTTTTTTTCCCCCACAAGAACATGATTATTTTCTCCCCTAAAGTAGATGTAACCCTAATCAGTAAAATCTCATATAATCTTTAAAGTGTATTTCCACTTTTGAAGCCAAATTGGGATGCGTTTTATGCGCATACGTCAAAAAGTGTGTTTTTGTGGGCAGAATGTAGCTCATTAATGTTAGTGATCAAACGCTTAAGCGCTTCTTATTGAGTCAATGGGGCCAAAACAAGCGGTAATATGCAAAAAAAAAAAAAAGCCCCTGTACTTTTTCCAAGGACAGGCGTTTTGGCTTATTGCCACAAAACACTCAGATGTGAACAGGGCCATAGAAATGAATGTGATTTTTTGGGGGGGCATGTTTTATGAGCGTTTTATTAGGGCTAAAATACACTACAAAACGCTCAGTGCGAACCAGGACTTGTAGGGGAGGCTGGGGAGTTCTCTGTCCTGCGGTGGCAAATCTAATTATCTGTTGTAAACTAGATTTCAACACTGTCTCTCCTAAAAAAGGGTTAAAGAGCTCAAAAATTGTTCAGAATAGCTTTTGGTCCTATGTATAAACATGATTTTAAGAAACAACTATAAAGGCGAAATATTGGGTGTCTAAACAGACCCCTGATATTTCCCTTTTAAAATAGAAAAAGAGATTGAGGACCCAGAGTCCTCAATCTCTTTTTCTGTATCCCCTGTTATAAATGAACAGGAATCCTCTATACTGAGTGTTCCTGTTCATTCATAACCTGAGAACATTGTATGTTTACTATAACTACAACTATGAATGAGCAGGAGGTGATGAACACTCCCATTCATTCATAATTGAGGATATAATAACCATACTATGTCTTCAATTATTTACAAACACTCAGTGATCACTGAGTATTTGTACCGCTCTCCTCTTTGACACGCTGTCACAGGAGGCTGGGCGGTGCAGGGAGGAGCTCAGCCTCCTGTGACAGCGCAGGCTGTCTCCACCCACACACCGCTCTGCCGGACTGTGATAGGAGGCTGAGCGGTGTGGGAGGAGAGACGCCAGCCGCTCACAGCACTCGGCCGACTGTCACAGTTTCTCTCCTCTTTGCTGGGACACAGAGCAGCGCCCAGCGGGAGGAGAGAAAGCACCGATGTATCGGCACAAAAATGGCATTTTCGGCATTTAGCCAGAAGTGCCATTTTCGGCCAATATGTTTCGATGGCCGATATATCGGTGCATCCCTACTTTAAATGTCAGGGAGGAAAACTATAGAGGACTGTAAGTATCACTCTGTGTTCAATTATCCCCTTTAAAAACCAGCATTATATTCGTCATCTGCTAAGAGTGGCATATTTGATTTCTTGGCCAGCCTGAAGTTCTGCTTCAAGAAGGCGTATCATTTAAACATGTTCATAAACCTGAAGTTACTGCTTAGCATGCATGATTCAGGTCTACAGTATTATCGTTTATAATCTCTCGGCACACTTTATCTCTTTGTCTTTCTGTAGAATGCTCATGAAAAGAGGGAACCTGAATCGTTTGCCCAGCCTTTGGGTGTATCTAAGGTGGTAGCTGTAAGTAAAGTCTTCAAACTGATAACAAAACTTGAGCATTGGCAGCGATGCCAACTGTTCTGAATGCTGCTGGCAGGCGCTACACATTGGCTTTGTAATGAAACGGAGATAACACTGAGCCTACTGGGAATAATCGGCTCTATAAATGCATAACCACAGTCCTGGAATAGAGGAACGGCTCTTACAGATATAGACAATGATCTGTATTGCTGATATTTCAGTGTGAAGTTCTCACTTCTACAAAATATCCTCTTTATTCTGTACTTGAATGATGGTGGTTAATCTCAGATGATGTCAAATTGCTTTTACTTCCTTCTAGTCAAGCATCAGTTGAGTGTCTAAATTTATACAGAAGTAGTTATTTCAAATGGATAAAAATCATGATTTGCGCGCAGCTTCTTCATGGTGATTAACCCTTTCTGGTTTCCGAGGTTTGCTATACACCTATTATAGTAGCTCAATTTACTGGGGAAGGGGGTTGTAATGAGGAGCCAAACACAATTCAAGTAACACTAAACTCAGGAGTTAAATCTTAAAAATGTATTCAAGTACCTTAACTATTAACAAAAATGTATCTTATGTGTGTATCACTCGGCTTTAGATACTTAAATCATCTCTGAATTGGTGCCGACACTGTCCTTCCTTCTGCAGGGGGGCTACTTTTGTTCTCCATGGTCCCTGTGTGTGTTATAAAGTAGCCACTGCTCCAAGCTCACTCCTGTGATGAACTACAATCTCATTTTTATTTTACTAATTTGTATTGAGATTGTATCCATCACAGGAGTGAGCTTGGAGCGGTGGCTACTTAATAACACACACAGGGACCATGGGGAACAAAAGTAGCCACCCTCCAGAAGGAAGGACTGTGTCGGCATGAATTCAGGTATAATATGATGATCTACAGCTAGATTTTTGTAAATCATTGGGGGTACTTGAATTTTGTTCTAAGATTTAACTCTCGAGTTTGGTGTTGCTTTCAAGATATTCAGGTAGATTAAATAAAAATTAGAAATTAAATTTAACATGGAGTACAGTCATTCTGCACAAGATGCATGTGCTGCATTTTATTTGCATCTGGCTTTTACAAATGCGCAGGAGGTGCATGTTGATGGATGTGTCTATCAGATATACACACCGGCACATTGCCACTGGCACATTTCTAATGTTTAGCTCAATATAGGTTCAATTGGTAAAAACATACTTGCTTCCCCATTTCATATTCAGATTTGAAGATACTACTCCTGGTAGCTTTCTGTATGTATTACAACTTCAGTCATCTTAAGCCAGTGCTCTTAGATTAAGTGTACTGCCAAACTTCCTCTAAATTATATGACTCATTACACACATGAGTGGTATGTTACAGTGGGCTGATGGCTCTGTGCAACATTTTGGCTGCCTGTCGATTTTATATTCTGCAATAGAGTAGATCAACCAGTAAACAGGACACAGTCCCAACAGCAAAAGTGTATGAAGCTTTTCTGCACCCTGCTTACCCATGAACCTGGCTCACAGCTGCTGAGAAACCATGATAAGCCACTGGGAAAGATTTTGTGTTTTTTAATTTTTTTATTAGTTACACATTACACTGGTGGGCTTTTACTGAGAAAGGTTGAGTGAAGCACAATCACTACACAGCATTACTAAGCAGGAAGCACAGGTCATATATGTAAATATGGCAGCTTGTAGCAACATAAACAACCCCTATAAATAAAAGCATATATTCTTTTTCATTCATTGAGAAACACAGGGTTCAGACACATTTGGGTTATACTGCTGCCTACAGGAGGATATGAACACTGGCAAACAAAAATACAGTAACCATCCTGGTATAACCCCTCCTATTCCCAGAATGCCTCAGTGTTTTGCTAGTGTTCTAGAATGATGGATATCTTTTCTCTACTGAGAAATGCTTAAAAGAGAACTATGGGGTAACCTTTTTATCCCATAGTTCGTCTTAAGGGTCACGGGAGGACATATTGTAATGTCCTCCCGTGACCGAAAGATCAATATATAGCGAGCTATTGCTCACTATATACTGAGAGCGCCGCAGCCGGGATGGATCCCGACAATGCTGTCTATTATCCACCCAGCTGCGTGAGTGACAGCTGTGAGTGCCTATCTAGAGGCAGAGCCAGCTGTGCCCGCCCCCTCCCCTGTCTGTTTCTCCAGTCAGTGCTGGAGGATCGGAGAGGGGAGGGGGGAATCCCTGCTGGGAGCGGTGGTGTCAGTCACCGCTCTCTGCAGGGAGATGATCGGAAAGTGAGCGAGCGACGGTATGCGTTTGCCCACTACCTGATCTCGAAAGCTGACCTGTGACAGTTTCATTGCCTTGAACTATGAGGTTGAGTGAAAATCACTCACCTCATAGTTCTCCTTTTAAGTGTGTTTTCGCTAGCTATTCTTTTTTTCCTCCCCAAGATTGTTTTCTTCAATAATGCCATGTAGATGCTGCTGAGCTAGTCTCTGTATGCAGCTATCTGGATTGAGGTATCCTCACTAACCGCTTTGGAGGCCATTCCTGGACTCCAATTTTCTAAACAGTTCCTGCCTGGACTGTGATCTTCAGGCACTGGGCTCCACTTGTGGGGCTTTACATACCTCTGTGTATTGGGTTAGTTAGCACTTTCCAGGTCCAGAGCCATGGCACAGCCTCTGGTGTGACCCAGTCTCTACAGATTCATTAATGAGTAGGCCATGTGGGTTGAACAGCAGGAGCTACTATACTTTTTTACACTGTTGAGTGCCATTATTATTCCCTTACTTCCTGTTGGTCTCCATTAAAAGGGTTAAAACATGAAGTAATTGAGCACTGTGTCACTAGGTGGAGTGTCATGCATGCATGTACTCACTCCGTTCTCTGTTCCCACCTTCAGCGTGAGGTAGAATCTTCCTGCCGCTGCTCTTATTTGTAGGATACACCTCTCTGTTAGCTTGGTTAGTCTTGCTGATGTCTACAATGATTTGGTCACCTTCAGCCATTTAAACCTGGTATACTATGTTAAGTTGTCCCAATGCGGGCAACATGTCGAATCACAAACTTAAGAGTAGCACTCCCCCTGAATAGGTTCTCTTGCTGCTTTGATTGTTCTGAGGCAGCATGCAGTGTTCCCACTCAAGGACCTGGCACAGATTACAAAATTGTTTCCTGCTTGAGTGTTTACACTCCTCTGAGTCTTTCTTAGCTCTGTTGGGTGTGGCTCCCCCCCCCTCCCGGTTTAAACTGTGAGGGTTTTACCACAGTTATGCATTTTATGTGCCAAATTTGAATGTTAATAGATGATTCTGACCACAGAGAACGTACTTCAATACCTTCCCCTGTAGCATTATCACATCTGTCTGCAGCCTTAGCGGCTTCGGAGGCTTTGGTTGCGGAGGCTCTATCTAATGAAAAATCGCCCAGCCTTAGAAAGACCATTTGGCTCTTATTGGTGTGCTGTATGCCAATTTAAAAGTGGAAGTGCAAGCCTGTAGCTTCTATAGCTGCTTCTACTCTAGGGTCCTTAAGAGGCCCTAGCACCACTAAAAATGTCCCATGACTATTTCCAGACATTCTCTAAGCTGACTGAGAAACTGCTGATAAGACTGTTTACACCTTCCAAATGTTTTAAGGTCCACTTGTGTAAGGAGAGCATTATTAAGAAATGGGCTTTTCCTGTAGTTGATCCAGCAATATCCTTTTCTTATAAATCTCTTGCACTCCATGTAGCTGAATGCTCCAGTATTTAAGGATCCGGCTTTACTCCACACTAATCCTTTATTTCTGGAGCATTTATAGCCAACAGCCCTGCACTACTGTGTAGATAGGTTAGTGAGTGTCTCCCGTCTTATTTCCCATATGAGTCCCCTATCAGTGAATATGCCCACTGTGTTGTAGTGTGAATGGGATACATTGATCCAGTGCGGTACAACACAGGTTAGCCTTAGATATGCCAATGGGCCCTGAGAAAACTCCTCTACCCCAGAAAAGAGAAGCCTTGGCCTAAAGCTGAGTCAAATCACCCTCCTCTGAGGCAAAGAAGAGTTCCTTTCGTTACTCCCAGGCTTCAGCATATAAGTTCAGACCTAAGCCAGGAGCCTGGTTACTGTAAACCCTGGGCCCCTGCATTCTCCAAACCGACAGACATTTTATTTTCAGAATGAAGGGACCCCCCACCCCTTTTCAAAGTGGGGACATCTGTTAGCCTTTCCAGTCTTTGGACACACAGCATCTAGGATGCATGTGTATGGGAGGTGGAGGTATTAGCTAGAGTTCCACTCTCAACCCCCCTACTTGTTTCATGGCTTCCAATTTTATGGTGTCACCAAGATTAGCAGACCTTCATGCTGCCTTTGTTGGTTTCCTGGAAAAGGAGATTTATCACTCCAGTTCCTGTTTTAGAGGTATTAAGGGTTTTATGCCAACCTTTTCACAGTTCCAAAACTAAAAGAGGATATGCATTCCATCCTGGATCTCAAGGCTCTGAATGATTTAATTTGGTCCCACAAGTTCTTCGAAGTTCTATGGAATCCACCAGGTACGTCTCTTTTCATCAGAGAGACTTTTTGGCCTCTGTAGACATCAGGGGCGCATACTTGCATGTCCTTAATTTTCCTTCACTTTGCTGTAGGTCCTCATCACTTCTGGTTTGGATTCCTGCCATTTGCTCTGTCTTCTGCACCAGTGTATTCACAACGGTTCTAGTCCCTGTGTTTGCCTGGTTATGCTCTCAGGGAATCCCTATTTTGTGATACCTGGATAACGCACTGTTGAGGGTTCAGTCAGCACAAATTCAGACCGAAATTGTGGCGCTGACTGTTCAGACCTTGAAAAGGTTCAGTTGCATCCTGAAGTCTGTGTTAGAGCATCTGTGTCTGATCCTAAACAAAGCTCAAGTCAGAATGTTCTCCTTTCCCCAAAAAAATCTTCAAACTCTCCATTCTCAGACTCGGACTCTTTAGTCCAAAAGTCGACCAACGCTTCACTTTTGCATGAAATCCTTTCCTTCGAGTTGATTGAGAGACACAGGTCCCACCTCTCTGTATTTATGGTCTTACACTTTGCACTGCTCTGTTACAAAACTAAGGCATGCTGGGAGCAGGAGGGGTTTTACCAGGCTGTCATAGTAGGTGGCAGTATAACCCGAATGTCTCAGAATCCTTTGCCTGTAATTTAAAGCAAGGTATTGGTCGTTCATTACAAAAATCCTGTTTTTTCAAACATGTTTTTGAGATGCTTTTTCTATTCTTTAAGCAAATTACATTTATCAACGTATAAATATTTCTGTTTTCAGGCTTCCCAGTATGCTGCACATACAAGTAATGAAGCTGTCCTGTGGTCTCCCAGCGTGTTTCAGCAACCCCCTCCTAAGTATACTGGCCAAGCTGATCGGACAGCGACTCCACCTCTGATACATCACAGTACCGACCGGGCGAGACCCTGCCCTGCCCTTAGTCGCACTCAGCTCCAGGAAACCCTACTACACCTTCTGAAGGTACAACAGGTCATATGTATAGTCAGACCTTGTTTTTATATTTTTTGATCGAGTATGGATCGATAAGAACCCCTGTCAATTTCCTATTGCTGTGTACTGGTTATTTAGATGTATCCTTACTAGTTGTCCTGGTGACTATTGTGATGGGAAATCCAAAATGTTAGTCGCATCTTTCTTAAAGCCTGGTTTAGACCTAGATGTTTTTGAGCAGTTCGAAAATGCTTTTAACTGCCCAACACAAGAAATCTCATGATTTTCAATTGCCCTGGTTCACACCTGAGCAGAAAAACGCCTAGCAGGAAAACGCCAGATGCCTGAAAAGATAGAGGAGCTTCTTTGGGCAGTTAAAAGCGTTTTTCCTCCCCATAGACTTGATTGGAAATGCCCAGAAACGCGCAACAGAAGCATGTTGCACATTTTCGTGGGCGTTTTTGCGTGTTTATACGCGCGTTCGTCCATTGATCACAGTGGTTTGTGAGCTGCCAATCTTCATGTACGCGCGATAAAATGTGCATACAAATCTGCAAAATGCGCATAAACGTGCAAATAACTGGATGCTGCCAACGTGCGTACAAACGTGCAAAATCGGTGCCGCCTAGGTGTGAAAAGGCTAAAGTGACTCTAAACTATTAACAAAAATGTATCTTGTGTATCATTCAGCTCCAGATCCTCAAATCATCTCTGAATTGGTGCTGACACTGTCCTTCCTTCTGGAGGGTGGCTGCTTTTGTTCCCCATGGTCCCTGTGTGTGTTGTAAAGTAGCCATCAAGCTCGCTCCCGTGTTGGACTGCACTCTCTACAAATTGGTAACTAAATCCTACAAGCTCGCTCCCGTATTGGACTGCACTCTCAATACAATTTGGTAAATGAATCCTGAGATTGTAGTCCATCACAGGAACGTAGTCCATCACAGTAGCTTGGAGTGTCGGTTGAATTTAGAGATGATTTGAGGATCTACAGCCGAGTAATACACAAATTAGATACATTTTTGTTAATAGTTAAGGTACCTGAATGCATTTCAATGTCTAACTCCTGAGTTTAGTGTCACTTTAAGAGGCACATTTTCCCTCACTTTGTAGAGATATCTTCTTACTTCCATTTGGAGCTCCAGCACAGGAAGTGAAGGGAAATCACCCCACTAAGACACACAGACTGAGGATATCATGAAAATGTGCAACAACAATGGTTAGTTTAAGTGAAAATCCCATTTTAAAACTATGAAAAGATCTAGAAACATCAGCCATTAAAGTTTAATATGCAAATCTTGAATTTACCTGTATCTTTTGAGCCTGGCCTAACACCCCCTACATCCTGAGCTTTTCTATTGGCCCTTGAGACTGCACCTTTAAAGATCCCGGGTTAATGCCCTTGTTTAGAGCTAGTAGTAAAAAAAATAACTTGTGTACTAAGATTGAAGAAAAAAGAAGGATGGACATTGGCAACGGGAGAGGTTAGTATTAAGCGTCTTCTCTGCATGGAGACCTTTCTTACACGCACCAAATCATCACATTGAAAATGTCGTGTAGTAAAATCTTCGGTGCTTGTTTACAATGTACCAAGTTACTGGTGGTGAATGATCTGGAATTCATATAGTTTTGTAGACTGATTACTAATTGTTTCCTCGCTGTATTCTGTGATGTGCATAACGAATCTGCCTGTATTTTATTTTCGTTCTAGAATGACTCCAGCTTTCTCAATACAGTTCACGAAGCTTATTTACAAGTGCTTACCAAAAGTATGGAAAATGTCAAACTTTAAAAGAAGTAAAGTGATGGTAACTCCATCTTCACCACAAACCTACAACCAAAACAATGCAAAGCCTCTGGTGACAGAAGGAACATTTGATTTATATGGTTATGATGTCAATTTGCATGGACTGGCTTTATTGTAAGCAGTTCACTGTAATCTGGAGACCTATAGATTGCATCTCACACCTATGCTTACACTACGAGGTCAGTTTAAATATACTGGAGCAAAAACAGTACAGCTGTCACTACATCTACCAACCTCATTCCATGTTTAATTTTTGTAGATCAGGTTAGAAAATGAAGTCTAACATCTGATTGGTTGCAGCAAGAAGCAATTCTATTTTTATTTCGATTCAGTTTTATATATCAGTCCCTGGATGTCTTAGACTGCACATTGATTTTGTGTTCTGTTTGACATGAAATCCACTGGGAAATCCAGCTTTATATTGCTAGAAGACTTTACTAGCACAGGGTTTTTTACAGGTTTTTGGTTTTATTTTAACATATTCTTCATTTAGGAGACTTTTAGACAAATATTCAAATAGGAACATTATATGAACAGATGTAGGCCAAAAAGAAAACAATAAGTAAGTGATAAAGGGGTTAGTAATTGACAAAAGTAATTTATTGCTGTCATGCAATTCCAAAATATTGGAGCAAGAGATAAATTGTTTCCATTAAAGAAACCCTGCAGCTGTAGCAAACCTTTACACCTTCAACTTGTGGAGCCGGTACCCCCCAGGTGGACTTCAGACTCCACCTTACTGACTTACTGAGCAATAGTAACACACTGGGTCATTGTTTCTGTATAAGAACACCTAGTTTTGGGGAGTCCTCAGATGATCCATGGAGAAATAGACCTGACATACTGGCACTATAGCCATCTTCAACATGAGTGGCGGGTTTAAATGCTTGTTAGAGTGTCAGCTCCACTTTGATTTGGAGTGCAGTGGGGCAGAATTGGAACCCCTGTTAATTTTACTGCACTTTGGCCCTGTTGAGGGCTGGGAAGGAAGTGAGGGAAAGCGTCTAAGAAGGACTCGGACAGCAATAAAAACACTAAAATTTTAATCTAGAAATAGAACTTCCATTTGCTTTTTGTTGTTCTGTGTCCTCATTGGACATATTCCCTGACTTCCTGTCTGGGTGACAGCGTTGTCATGATGACAGAATATGGAAAAAAATCTCTACAAGGCGGCCTCTGATGGCAGTAAAAACTCCACTAAGCCCTTCTCAACACTATCCAAAACTTAAGAAAAAGCCTGGAGTTAAGCTTTAAAGGAAAAAATTTCTTTCTTTTTTTAGGAATCTCCATTATTCTGTTCTTAAATCCCAAACCATCTTATTTTTATAAAATTCTTGTTTTGGTTTCCTCACTCTAAAGTAATTTGATTTTAAAATTTTAATAATTGGCTTTAAAATATTTATAGGTTTCAGCCAGATTTCTACTGCAGTCGCCTTTCTCCGGTACCTGCTATGCACTGGTTATTGGGGTGACAGTCCTTGGTTGAGCGATCTATGGATTACTGATTATTAGTATTTCTCCATTTGACAGCCAGCGATCAATACTAGAAATAAAAGAAACAATCCTTGATTGAGCGATCTATAGATTACTGATTATTAGTATTTGTTCATTTGACAGCCAACGATCAATACTAGAAATAAAAGAACCAATCCTTGGTAGAGCTATCTATGGGTTACTGATTATTTAGTATTTCATCATTTGACAGCCAGCGATCAATACTAGAAATAAAAGAACCAATCCTTGGTAGAGCTATCTATGGGTTACTGATTATTTAGTATTTCATCATTTGACAGCCAGCGATCAATACTAGAAATAAAAGAACCAATCCTTGGTTGAGCTATCTATGGACTACTGATTATTTAGTATTATACCATTTGACAGCCAGCGATCAATACTAGAAATAGCTCAACCAAGGATCGGTTCTTTTATCTATGGATTACTGATTATTAGTATTACACCATTTGACTGCCAGCGATCAATACTAGAAATGAAAGAATCAATTTGTTCTCTGGTAGATCATTGATATCTGATAATCTTCAAGTGCATTGTCATTCTAGCAGCTGGACTGCTTGTGGCTTATTTCCTTTTTGGTGCTCTGGTCATAGGTCACTTAGGCATAATGGTGATATTGAATGCAGGTGTAGTGTTTTTTTTTTTTTTTACACAACTTTGCCCTGATTGGAAAAGGTATCAATGTCTCTTTACAGGGTCAGCAATCCAGAAATTGATATTTTAGTTCTAGCTGTAACCTGGGGGTTGGGGTCACCATTTTGCTTTTTATTTCTTTTGAAGACTCCAGAAAATGCCCTCATTGGCCATTTTTGTTGCCTTCCACCAGAGTGTGTTTGTTGCATCCTTGTTGGGTGGTTCCACTTCTCGTCTTGCATCCTCCATAATTCTAGATTAATCTAGAAGAGCCAGATTTGGTAATGGCTGTAGAAAAAGTGCAGAGATGTGGCCACTGTAGTTCCTGATAAAAATAAGAAACACGGGATTCAATTCTCCAGGATGTCTCGAAAGACTAAAAAATGTGTTTTGGGTTGACTGACCTTTAATGTTGCACTAAACTAAATTTAAATTAAACTGAAGACAAAACTTTTTTTTTTTTTTTGACTAGAGTAAGGAAGGGTTATAACCCCTGTTGGCTTTTTTGCCATCTATTCTCCCTTGGATAAATCTCCCTTCACTTACTGTCCAATAACCACAACAACAAGTGAGAGGAAGTCCCTGCAAAGAGATGCCTGTTGGCTAGCAGGGTCACCAGAACACGTGTCCCCATTGGAGTATCTCCCATCTATTCTTGTTCTGGTAACAACACAAAATTTGGGATAATCTTTGACTTTCAGTGATAAGTCACCAGGACAAATAGGGAGGGTGAAACTCCCAAACGGGGACAACGATGAGGGAAAAAAAAATCCTGACCGGTTCTAATCCCTCACCACTCTAACCAAAACTAAAAAAAAGGTTTTGGCTTTAGTTGCAATGTATCCCTTAAGTGCCCCACAGCCAGCATGCCTAAGCACGATACAAGTACGATTTCTATGCAGTCCAGTCATTAGTATGCACCTAACCATGTAAATATGTCAGTGTTAAATGAGCAAAGAACAGTCTTTTGTATAGCAAACAATGGTCATCTGCACCTTTTAAAATGAATGAGAATTTCTGATTGGCTGCTGATGCTTACTGATCTTTGTACTATGTTATTAAATAGGTCCATTTAAACAGAGCTCCAGGCAAGCAGCTAAATACACAGTTTTGGTACGTATATGTGACTACCAAAGATTTATAATTCTGTTCTGTTTATAATTCTGTTCAACATAGGTATGTTCTAGACCTCCACTGCAGTGAATTAGGCATATTTGCTCAAGGGCACACCCTCAGCATGCTCACTGGACAGTGAAGGAGCAGTAGGGAACTGATAAGTGATCACTCTGTCCTTTCCAATCATCACGCTTTAGTGTTTGTTGACAGCACTATGCTGCTGATTGACTCTTAAAGGAGAACTATGAGGTGAGTGCTTTTCACTCACCTCATAGTTCTAGCCGACCTGTGACAATGAGACTGTCACAGGTCGGCTCAGTAGATCGGGAGGTGAGCGAACACATACCGGCGTTCGCTCACCTCTCGATCCTGTCACAGCTCTCTGCCGTGACAGGGGAGGGGCTGGATTCCCCCCTCCGCGCTCCCATCCGCCAACGCTGACTGGCGGAACGGACGGGGGAGGGGGCGGGTACAGCTGGCTCTGCCTCTAGATAGGCAGAGCCAGCTGTCAGTCACACAGCTGGGCGGATCCCGGCACAATTGTCGGGATCCGCTTCAGCTGCGGCTTCTCAGTATACCGCGAGCTACAGCTCGCGGTATACTGAGCCTAGGGTGACGGGAGGACGCTAGTTTGTGTCCTCCCTTTACCCTAAGGAGAACTATGGGGAAAAGACTTAACCCCATAGTTCTTCTTTAAGCCCGTGACACACTGCATGCGAAGCCGTGCAGTGTGAAGCAAAGCTGTCAGGCATGGAGGTTCGCATGCAGTGTGTGAGCTGAACGCGGCCAGGTGAAAGACTGCATCTTCAGCCAATCGGCTCGCGCATAACCACCGAATGGACTTCACATCGTGACGTGCGGGTTTATACGGCTATGCAAACTTTCGCAAGCTGACGTGCAAAAGTGAAAATTACTTCACGCACTGCACGCGAAGGCAGCGCGCCACCGCTCCACGTTGCTTCGCGTGCAGTGCGTCACAGCCTTTAATGCTAGCCGTCTTCTGAAACATTGAACCTTGCTGTTCAAGAGATTATAGGAGGCTGCCATGAAAATAAATCCAAGTAGTAGTCACTTTTAGAAATATGTTCAATTGTTTTTGCAATGAATACTGAACTGTATTTTAGTAGCTGGAGTTGAGCTTTAATCTAATTTTCAGCTGTCGAGTGCACCTCCTGCTCACATACCCCAAAATATGTACATGGCGTAGCTGTACCCAGGGACATCTGCAGTATTTCAGACAACAGTGCCAGAAGTCAGTGACCCGTTTAGTAGTCCGTGGTTTAATTTAATTAATGAATGCACTATAAAAGTGGGCTGTTACTATACCAAAGTATTCTACACAAAATATTTGGAAGACAATAAGATATTAACAGCACGGTCTGTGTAAAGTATGGTGAGCAAGCAATATTTAATGATCATTTCTTGTGTCCGTAGCACTTTGCCATCGTGCAAATGAAAAGATAGAAAAAAGCCAAACTCATATTTTTATGTTGCTGAAACTTATTTTAAGTGCTTCTACTTTTGTCTAAACTTCTTTGCAATTTTAGTTTCTTGTGTACATTTTTGTGTAAATAAAAAAAAAAAAAGCAAATTTTGGTTTGTAAATGCAGAAGTGTTTGGGTGTCATTTGTTTGGTAAAGCCTTGGAGAGCTTAAAGGAGAACTATGAGGTGAGTGATATACTCTATCGATCGGGAGTGAGCGAACACATACCACTGCTCGCTCACTTCCAGATTTTCTCCCTGCAGAGCGCAGGGACTGTCAGTCACTGCTCTCCACAGGGATTCCCCTCCCGGCTCCGATCCTCCTGCGCTGACTGGAGGAATGGACGGGGGAGGGGGCGGGCA